ACAAAAGCAGTGTTTTTGTGTACCTATCTGTAGGGCCCCTATCCGTAGGGATTGCGGGGTAATTAATTTGATGATGCATGATGATGGGCCCTGTGAATCATGCGAAGATATTGTTCATCTCGGAGATCCTGGAAAACAAAGCCTCTCTTCAAGGTGAATCTGTGSGCATTTTGGGAACCTGGCAGAGCTATGATGCTTTGACTGAGAGTGCAGTGATCAAGCATCGCGGTCWTTGCCTGACCATCAATACCTCAATGCTGCCGACTCCATGCCAACCACCCAAGGTTGGAGATCTTGTTCAAGTAATTGGTGAAATAGATTGCAGATGTCCTCAAGCTCTAAACAGTCCTTCTAAGATTGCAGTCCATGCTCGGATTTTCCGGATCGTCAACGGAATTCATCTCGATCTGTACGAGACAGCTTTGGAGATGCGCCGCCATTTCGAGAATCATCAGATGCCTCGTCACTGAGACATCAGTCAGATGTATGTGGCCATGTTTTGCATGCTTACGCARATGAAAACCCTGTAATAAAAGATATCATTTTGACGACCAGTAAAAAGTACAAAAAAATTGTTCTGTGGTGAAGGATCAGTCTTCCGTCTGCAATTTGTGTCACCCACTCAGCGTATTTCTCCGTCTGCAAGYTTGTCAGGGAGTTGCCCACATCACTGGCAGAAGATACAACTGTGTTTCTATAAATARCATTTCCCTTTATACCCCCCTAGAGAGAGAAGCAGATGGAGGGAGGAGAACTCCCGTCTTCCGTCGAACACAAAGCACCCTGATAACGAATGTATACAAGCTATCTTTCCGGTCCGATGCAGCCAAAATAAGGGTGCGTTGTGTTCGGGGGAAAGAAGGCGAGGCTGTTGTCTCAGCGACTCACAAGGCAACTGCAATTTTGCAATCTCTGTAACGTTTGGGGTTGGCCCCGTGCATTATACTTCAAACCTATGGTGGTCCCCACTCGTGGTCCCCATCGTGGTCCCACTCGTGGTCCCCATCGTGGTACCACGATACGCTTACCGACATTCAGGACGAGGACGAGGACCATCGCTGCTATCGCTCAATGTAGAGTTCGACGGAGCATCGGCTCAATGTAGAGTTCGACGGAGCATCGCCATTGCCTGCACCTCTGCTGTGGCATTAGGAGGTTCTTCTGTATCCTGCCACGGTAGCAGCTGGAAGGAAACAGGCTTGTGTTTCATCTTTGGGAAAAGTGTGTGTGTGTGTGTGTGTGTGTGTGTGTGTGTGTGNTGTGTGTGTGTGTGTGTGTGTGTGTGTGTGTGAGAGAGAGAGAGAGAGAGAGAGAGAGAGAGAGAGAGAGAGAGAGAGAGAGAGAGAGAGGGTGGTTGACATCCTAGAAGCTGGAAGCGAAGGGCTCTTGACCCTGCTCTTTGCTGGAGGACATGGTCCGGGTCATATAGCTGAGGGCACAGTTTTATTGCGCTGAACGTCGGGTGCGTGCTGTGTGGTTTTCATGATCACTCTGAACTCTACTTAAGTGTTTGACGGCGGGTGAGCATGGCTCTGGTTGAAACAACTTGCCGGCGTTTTCGACTGGGCGATGCGGCCAGTTATGTATATGTTGATTGGTATCCTTCCCAAGTGAAAATTATAGTAACAGATTGTTCGAAAGCCTGGACATGGGAGCCGAGTGTCGAGGAATTTGTGGAGAAAGCAGATGTTATGGGTGTGAGTGCCGAGGAATATGTTGTGGAAGTGGCTCAGTACTTGAAGAATCAGAATCCTGCTTCCCAGTATGAGCTTCTGCCAGTCGGTGATGGTAAGGTTAAGCTTTCCTGGAGCTTCCAGAGGGAAGGTTTCAAACTGTACGCGCGCTGGGTGTTGCACCCTGTTCCAGATCATGCCAGGGCGATTTGTTTTATAATGGATTGGTTATCGCATCGCCTGGATAGTACAGAGGAGGCCTTGCAGAGAAAGCATCTTGCTTTTGAGAAGATGTTGGCAGAGGTCAACGAAACGCAGCAGCAGTCGGAGCGATTTGCTGCGGAGAAGAAGGCTCTCGAGGACGACCTGTACAGTAAGTTCATTCTAGTGTTGAATGCGAAGAAAGAGAAGTTGCGCGAGCTTCGTGCTAAGTTGCAGAGCAAGGAACACGAAGTCGGTGAGGAACAAGCTGACACGACGGATGCAGAAGATGGGGTCGATCATGGGAGCACGGATGAGTCAGAAAGAGAGGAGGAGGAAGGTAATGTGAAAAAAGATGTGAACGACGAGAACATGGGACCAGAGGTGGAGGATGCGGAAGTGAAAACTGCAGGGATATCTAGTAGCGCAGCGAAAGCTGATAGGGTCAGGAAAAGCACAGACGGTAAATTGGGTCTAGAAACTGGGGGAAGCAGGAAAGTGGGCAGAGAAACTGGGCCAGCTGGAACGAGATCGGACACCCTGGATTCAGCTGGACAGGATGCACGTGAGCTGACTGAGAAGAATCGAGGGACAGGAGGGGTAGGTTCCTATGATTCTGAATGGGGAGGGCGCTCAAGTGATACTGGCGCAGGCATGTGGGGGGCGAATGAGACCGACAGTCAGACGCTGGACTGGAAGGTGTATCAACAGCAATGTGTGGACCAGGCGCGCGACCAGGCAGCAAAAGACCAGCGACAACATGTGGAGCGGGTGCGCGGCCAGGCAGCAAAGGATCAGGAACAACGTGTCGACCAGGTGCGCGACCGGGAAGTAAAAGGGATAGAAGGGGGCTTGGATGCTAGGGATGGAGGCAGACAGAATGTGCAGGCAATCGTTGAGAAGAAGGATAACCACCTCCGCCAGGGCAGTAGTCATACTGATTCCAGTGTAGAGGGCAATGGCCAGACAGGAGGAGGCAGCGAAAGTCACACAAGACAAACGGTGCAATCTGGCAACAGAGGAGGAAATACAGGAACAAGTGCAGTTGGACTTGGCGGTTTTCTAGGCAGTAGCTTGTACACAAGCACAGCGAGGAACAAGCGCAGGTTTTGATAATATAACATCCTTTCTAAATTTAGCATGTTTCCTTACCTGCTCTCTCCGGATACTGAGTCGTTTTATACAGCTTGTCTGGAGGGTAGTTTTGTCAGCAGAGATGTCAATGGTGAGATGGACAGCTGATGCATTTAGCAGAAGCATGGGACGGAGATGCCTCCGGTCTGGCCGAATTCTCTCTCTCTTAGTTGCTGCAAAATGGGCACACAATACATGTAGTCAGAAGAATGCAGGTAGAGTTAATAGCTGCAATAGTTGTGAATCTTGTGATCCATGTCCTCTCATTGGGAGAGTCAGATAACTGATACGCTGGAAGAGTCACGTAACTGGGAGGGCAAGGGTGCTTTGGCACAGGAGTCAACCAATTCCCATTATGTACACATACAAAGGTTGTACAGCATCTGTGCAGACTCCCTTTGATTTCAAGCTCTTGCTGATCACTCCTATGTTTGTCTCTCTGCCTCTTTTGTTCAGGCTTCTCTACTTCCACCCTCCAATACTGCACTTGGAGAGTCTTTAGAACCTTGTCACTCCCCCTCCTCCCCCTCCTTTCCCTCCTCCCCTTCCTCCCCCTCCTCCCCATGCCCCCCCTCCTCCCCGTCCTCCCCGTCCTCCTCGTCCTCCCCGTCCTCCCCGTCCTCCCCGTCCTCCGGATGGTCCTTTTCCTGGCTCCCCCCCGCCCCCCTCTCCGCCTCATCCTAGTCCTTTGTCCTCCTCCGTCCTCCTTCTTTGTCCTTGTCTGTGGTGCAGCTGCAAATGGGGGCAGATGAGGTCTCGCTGGAGTCGGATCTATCTCTGGTGGAAAAGGTGGGATGTTTGCTAAGAACCAGGGGATTATAGGGCTGGGTGCGGTCAGCACAAAGCAGCAGCAAAAGCAACAAGGAGGTACGCCTTCACCGGGCGTGCTTCGTCCTGACCTCTTTTCTTTTCTGACTTAAAGGACCACTCCCCCCCGGAACAAACCTATTGATTCTTCCCAAGCTTGGAACACTGAGGCAGAAAGTTTTGGGCCTACTGGGTCCATCCGGCAGGGAACAAAAAAAAAATGCATTCTTTTGGCCCCCTAATTTTATTTTGTGCCGCTCTTCCTTTTCTTTTCTATTTTTTTTATTGCTTTTCTCGAACAGTTCAGCATAAAAAACGTCCCTTTCTCTTTTCAGGATTTTTCAACAAACCTTCTGAGCATGAAAAATCACCGACGTCGGACTAAGATCCAGTGCAATTACTAATTAATAATTATTCTGTTCTGAACTGCTGATCAGTTTAATATCTGATCTTTTTTTTTTTTTTTTTTTTTTTTTTTTTTGAAACGGGCCCAGTGCCCAAGGCTGATATTACCAATAAGAAGATTGAGGTCGGGGTCCTCACAGTCTACCCGGAGTGACCAAACCGAACATGCTGAGAACCGGGCACAGCGTCCCTCATATAACGATGATGATGATGATGATGATGATGACGACGATCATAAATTTATTCTGATTCTATGTAAACTGTGAGATAATAATACTAATGATGATGATGATGATGACCCCAAGCATGCCTTTTCTTTTCCCTTTTTCTGGGAACCGGGCCCAGTGACCCTGATGCTACTGATAGAGCTTATGATGATGATGATGATGACGCTAATCTATGGTAGTCCAAGAGAAGCTATGAACTATACCAGCAACACTTGTCCTCTCAATGCATAAGCAACTCTTAGCCTCCCCTGTATCAGACACAACACTTTCCAAGGCAATATCTACTTAGCCAAAAACCAGCTATAGCTGTCATGTTCTCCCTGGCAAGACTAAGCCCCGACCCCTTAGGTTTGTCATGACAGTCTCCCCCAGTCCACCACTGGATTGCCTTCCTCCCTCGACGAGTCCCCAGATCTCTCGACCAGGCCTCACGCTCCTGCTACAAACAGGTTACAGGGCTACACCCCAGCACCGGGCCCCAGCTTGGGACAGACCCCCTCGCCCCTGTTCCTTCAAAGGCATCCAATTCCCACCTAAAGTATGCCTTTAGCAAACCTCTACCCTAATCTGCCCCCGCTAGGATATGATGCTGCATTGTACATCTATCCCAGCCCCAGAATAGGGCAATCCTTTTTTTTTTTTTTTTTTTTTTTTTTAAATGTCCTACTCTGCCCCCACCCCCTTCAGGGCATTCACCCCCCACCTTGTGAAGCCCCTGCGGAGTAGAGGTCTCCCCCTCAACACTCAACCACCATCCTCCAAAAGTAAATCATCAGAGCACACTGGAGGAGAAAAAAGAATGTAGGCTCCCTTAGTAAAGGAAAAAACACTAGGCATTTAGATCTCCAGATAAAATTCTAGGATGCTAAAATTAAGTGCTAATTAGACAAAGGAAACTAGAAATTTCTTGATAATTGATGGAGAGTAGTGAATAGTCGAGTCCATGAACGTTGGAATTTCCCACCTGAAATTAAGGAGTTGTGAGAAAAAGCAAAATAAAATTTGAGCAGTTGAGAACAAATAACTTGGATTTTCAGTCTAGTTTTTAAGGTATTTGAAGAAACACCTTATAGATATCTAGGTATTTAAAAAATACCTTTTCAGTCAGTCCAGAGCTACATAGATACAGATTTCAGATAAATAAGAGAAGAAGATTAATAGGATATATCATTAAGTTGGTGAATCAGTTGATTAATTAGCTGATGACTTGGATGATGAATAGATTGATTAATTAGTTGATGATCTAGATGATGATTGGGTGATGACTAATTGATTAGTTGATAAATATAGACTATTTACTGGTTTTAGGAGACATTGACTAGAATCTGGAATACGTAATGGATGGAAATGTAAAACAGAACAGATAGTTCAATCAAGAAAACGTGAGTTACTCCCCCCCCTTCCTTCCAGGAAACTTGTAGAGCCATCTCTCTTACCCACAACCTCTTCCCCTTCACTCCCTCCTTGCTCCCTTCCTTCCACGTCTCCCGCCCTCTCCCACACCCTTCCCCACTACCCCCCTCGTTTCCCCATCTCTCCCCAAGAAGAGAGGTAATGAGGAGGAGAGTAGAGGGATGAAGCTGGAGGGCATGAGGGAGGAGGAATGTAATCCAAGCAAAATTAAGTGAAAGAGGGTTGAGAAGAAAAGTGGGAGGTTGCTATTCAACCCGGTTTTGTCAACCTCCCCGTCTCCACTCCATTACTCATGCCCGTCGTTGGCACAGATGCTGATGACGACGAGCGGAAGTAGAAAAGAGAGAAGGAGAGAGAAAGGAAGAGAAGGAAAAACAGAAATGATCCAACCTACGATGATGCTGATGATGATGGTGTCTGACGATGATGATGATGATGATGAAACATGACGCCAATATTGCTGCTTCAGAAAGAAGATGATGTTGAATATGGCCACAATTATCACCACACTGCGAGTAGAAAGGCCGTCTCGAAAACCACCAGGACGCTGGAGCTGAAAAGCCCAACAAAGCAAAAGAGAACGTACCATCCCCTGAAGCAGAATATACTCAGTCTTGCTGAGGTTCCTATGTCTGAAGGTTCGCACCCTGAAACAGAAGCAACCACCCCCCCCCTCTTCCTGCACCAGCCTGTGATGCCAGGAGATAGGCACAAAACAGCACAAAAGACTATCGGCTCTCTCTCCCCTTTGACGGCTAGGAATGCCGCTGTCAACGCTGTAGCATAGCAGAACGCAACTCCCCGCTGAAGCGTAGCAAGCACTCAACTCCCTCATCCCTACGATGTCAACAATCTCCCTTCCCGTGCTGACATGGCGGCACGTGTTGATATTCCTCCGCGTTATGCCTGCACAGTGGGCCACGACATCGCGCCACGTCAGCGCGCCAGTGCTGCTATTGTCAGCCAGCCAGCGTACACGCCAGCCCGCAGCGCCAGCCCGCAGCGCACTCGCCATGCTGCACGCGTCCGCACCAGCCCGCAGCTCACGCTCCGCACGCGCCATCCCGCAGTGCCAGCCCCTGCTGGGGTCAGTTTAATGTCTGATCTGTAGTTCATCGGGGGAAAAAAAAAAAAAAGCCCGGTCACCACCGAACTGGCCCACAGCCAACCCATTACCAGTGCGGGCTCCGTCACAACTTCTGGATTTCATCCGGAGAAGTGCTGGTTTAAGGGCATACTCACACTTGCACTTTCCTAAATGCATCTGACTGCAATTACTGCCAGACCTGGATGAATCTGACTGCAGTTACATCCAGAGCTTAGCAGGTAAAAAAACAAAAGTCCTGGTGCGAGTATGCCCTAAGAATCGCCAGCCTGTAGTGGATAGCACACACATAGCCTGCGCGCCCATGCTGAAGCCAGCTGCCCCTTTGTTGCTCTCTTCTGTTGCCACACATTACAAGTTTTTTTGCCCAGGTTTGTTGGCATAGCTTGGATGCTGAGTCTGCTGACATGCGTGCTGTTTGGAGATGGTTTCTTCGTTACGAGGGTTTGATTGGGTCATGCACAATGCCCTAAGAACTTGAGCAGTTGGATTTTCCATTGACTCCCTTCTTTTCATGAGCGATGCAATGGCCTGCACACGTTTTTCCTCCCTTTTTCTTTCTTTTGTTTGTAATTCCAGCGTCCCGTGCATCAGTCTCACTCACCCAATGCTTCCTGCCATTATGGCCGATGACGGCTTGTGAGACGACCGTATTGATTGCTCCTACCGAGGAGGATTCGCCACCACTGAATCCCTGTTACCTCATGCTAAAAGAACATAGCCCTGCAGACACCTCTTTCACCCTCCCTTATTCTAGTTCCAGCGACTGCCAAATATACCCCGTGGCAGCCAAAAATGTGAGGGCTTGGGGTCCTACAGTGCTTCTAGCACATGCCTTGCTCCAGAATGACCTGCACAGTGGCAGTCAGGGATTTCTGCATTTTTCTAGGCAATGCTTTGCTGGCCTGATTTGCTGCGATTACCGAGTCTGGGTATGTTTTTCTGTGTGTTCCCTGTGTGTCGGAGTCGGTCTGATGCTGCGATCACCGAGTCTGACCATGTGTCCGTGTGCTAACTCTGTTTCTGTGCTGCGTTTGTGTCCTTGGAGGGGTAGAACCGACAATAGGTTTCGTTACAGGGGTAAGGCCAAAATTTGGACAAGGGTGGACCTAGGGGAATTCTAGAACAAGCAGGAGTAAAGGAGTTTTTTTTTCCTTCTTTTTTGACCAGGTCTTGATTTATGCGTGTCATCCTTGTGCAGGGGCCATGCTAATCTTCTTTCTCTGTATCATTCCAATTTTAAGGGATGTCCCGAAGTAGAATCTGTTAGGGATTCAGTAGGGATATTCCAGTGGCTCGAGTAGGCCCACAGGTCCGGTGGGCTAGCAGGGGGGGTCATGATGGCACCCGCCTGTGTGTTGTCAACATAAGGTCTGGGTATGGGTCCAGCAGGTAGGATTACAGTCTGCA